GAAATTGAATGACATAGGCTACGTTTTTATCCAGCTGCCAGGGAAAATATTTCAGGCCTGTAGGCAGAGGGAATCAGGATCGATGAGATTTGCAGTCTCCTGGGCCTTAACACCTATGAATGGACACTGTGCCTGTACTTGGCATCTAGGCAACATTTTTCATGATTAGTCCATGTGTTTGTTATATGTTTCTTTCTCTGACTTTTTTTCCTGGTTCTGTGTATGTCTGGGTGTTTGCCTTACTCTGTGGATGGGCCTGGGAGCGTATGCTTGCTGATGGCTGTACTGTCACATTATCTTCAGATGTGTTTATTTATTAGACTTGCAGAGAGGGGGTAGAATCTGAATTTAGCACAGAAACTTGTATTTAGTTAATTAGGCCACTCTGTGGGATGCTATTCTTCCTTTGCAAGGGAGCCTGATTTACTAGCTAAAATCTCTGCTCCTAGAAAGCAGTCATAGTAAATGCTGCTCTTTATTTGTCCTGCTGTCTTGAGTGTTGATCCCTTCCGATGTTACTGATAAGAGGCTCTTGGGGAACATCAGGGTTATTTTGACAGGGAGGCAAGTGCAATGCATGAAACCAGAGCTAAGGAAAGCCCCTGTGTGAATTGTCCAGGATATCTCTGGGGTCCCAAGGGCCAGCGTCTCTATTCTGCGGCTTTGAGGTTGCTATGGATCCGTTGTGCCTTTGACAATGTGATGTGACTCTGTAGCCATCAGCAGCTGGCATGGCTAATATTTAGGTTGCAGGCCTAATCACTTATAGGGGAGAGAACAAAGAGAAACAACACAAAGCTTAAAGGCTGGCAAAACCGCCCACTGAAACCCAACAAAAGGCAAAAGGAATACAAGTGTTCCTCTGCTGCTTGGCTGATCTCCCCACCTAGACCCTTTGGGCATATTATCCTGTGTCAGCATAGCCCTGAGTGTTTATTTGTAATCAGGAGGCCACTGTTATGGTACACTTGACAGATAAATAGGGAAAACAGAGATTGGGTGGGATGGAGTGGGGAAAGGGAGCTGGTATCACCTTGTGTCAAATCCTGAGCTGTTTGGAAACAAATAGACTGCTCCCCTCCCAAACTCATGCACTGCTTGGCACATGACCCCGAGGCTCCAGCGGTGAGTCTGCAGGCAAGAAGAGAGGCCGCTGGTCCCACGTGTTTGTGTTTCAGTAGCTGATCCTCGCTTTGTCTGAGCCGCTGCACCAAGGTAACTGCCTGTAAAAGGAAAGTTTGTTTTGCCATACAGAGAGCAGACAGTTTGCAGTTGGCAAATAGGGAATAGCCATGTGGTAAAGGCATCATGGGGAGTGATGAAAGTAAAGTTCATGTGTATTTGCATCTGGATTTAGATGTCCCTTTCCCACCTCTCCACTTTACAGAGATAGGGTGGTAGAGGCAAACGGACATGATGGTATGCTGGAACTGCACGGACTGCGATGCCTCTGTTGTCAGAAAGGTGCCTCTAAACATGTTATCATATCTATTTATCTCCTCAGATCACTCTCTTCAGGTATTAGTTAGCCCTTTCGACCCTCTGGAAGAGGGTCAGAGCAATGCAGACTGCTCCAGAAAAGCAAGGTGGGATGAGGTCTGCCTTACATCTTGTCTGCAGAGCTGTCCCAGCTGCAAAGAGTTTTTAGCTAAGTCAATTTGTCTGGCTTTACTCAAATATATTTCAGTGACTATTAGGGATCTTATGAACTCCAGAAAAGAAGTAAGATGGAATAAATATGAGATCCCCAAAAATGGCACTTTTGTCCAAATCCTCAGCTGGGTAAATCATTGCAGGTTCAGGGGGACTGATGCAGCTCCCAGAGTGCCGGAGGAGCCTGCTGGGCTTGCTGTGCTGGAAGTCCCACTGACTTTCAAGGACTTTGTGGTTTCTAAGCACTATAGGATACCAACCATTGCCTTCAGTGAATCTTGCTGGAGTAGCCTAAAGTGCTGCTGTCCGAAAGTGCCTGTCCCTCCTTTCTGCTAGAGGTTGCTGCTCCCTAACAGGAGTAGCTTAAAGCAACATGCGCCCGCATTTTAGCTCTCTCCAGTTTAGAGCATGGCATGCTACTTTAGGAAGGTGACTTTGCTTTAATATGCCAGGTTGAGGGGAGGGCAGGTTTTCCATTGTGCCACCTCTGCTGCAGGGACAGTATCTCCAAGGAGAGGCGTGAGGCAGGCAGTGTCGAGGTGAAGTCTGCAAACAGCACGGCCAGCGCTACCCCGCAAAGCCAGGAGCCACATGGGAAAATGAGATACAGGCTCCTAGGGCACTTTTCAAACTTTTACTCTTTGTAAACTGGACACAGCTGCAAGTGGTCGAGATCTCAAGAGGGCCCCCAATCTTCCCCCTGCCTCGAGAGTGCAGGCGAGGTGATGAAATGCTAGTGCATCAGTGGCTAGTGCCTGACAGTGGTGTGCCCTGTCAGAGGGACGAAGCAGGGAGACAGAATTGGGAGCCACATGGAGTGACTTTCCTCAAGTACAACGAGGACTGCCCTGGTTGAGGGCTGGGTGAGGATGAGAAAGCTCCAAAGCATTTTCATTATAATATCTGTGCTTTTTTAAGCTCCTGAATGCTTTGTTGCTACATCCTACCCTGGTGTGTTTATCTATGTTGATTACAAGTGATAGGAGCTGAGTCTCACCCTGAGAGCAAGCTGTGTTGCTGCTTATTCTTCCTTGAGAAGATCGGATTGAGAACGGGTGAAGATTCCTGTCCAGACAGGACTGAACAGCCCATCGCCAAGTCGACAGCAGTGAAATCTGAGTCATGCCGATTGCTCGCCTTGGAGACAGCAGCGGCACTGACAGGGAGGGAGGGCTGCGTGAGAAATGCTAAAGACAACGAAACTCACAAAACACCTGGTGAAGTTTCATGTGCGGGGTGAAACTAGTGTTAGTGCATCCTCCCGATGTGCGAGGCAGAAGAGGAGCAAACACAGCATCTCCGTTACACCACCACGGGCTGGGAGCTGGCTTTGGCTAGAACAGTTAACATGGAAGGAGCTCCTCTGTATACTGGCCTCCAGCGGGGACTGAGCCCCAGGCCCCTGCCTCCACTCAGACCTCAGGAATTAGGTGCCTCAGGCCATGAGCAGAGAGTAGTTCCCAGCCTCTGTCCTGGGCAAATGTGGAGGGGCTCTGCATGGAAGCAGCATATTGCTTAACGAAAAGGTGACAAGAACAGCAGAGGCAGCCCTTGGTGGCCTCATCGGTGCTACTCTGGGAGAGACCATGTCATTATAGGGCTGCCACTGTGTTCAGCCAAGGAGAGCTCTCGAGCCTGAGCCAGGAGCCTCTCCAACAAAACTGCCACTGTGCAGTTTAGATGCATGTTCCTGCTGGAGACATGGCAGTGGGAGATTGGTGCACACACAGGAGTGAAACTGTCTCAGCTTTCCACAGCTGGGCTAGCAGGGAGGATGGACCAGCATCCGCAGCCGTGTCCAGGTTCTACCCTCAGGTGCCTCTGCACCCTTCGTTTCCATCCCAGCAGCATCTGCTGAGCACCTGGCTCTGAAGGCTTCGCTCTGTCAGCATGGGCAGCTCAGACCAAATGGGTTAGCAGTGTCTGTTGTGGTTAGCAATAATCGGGAATTTCAGAGATGCCAGATTCCTTTCAAGAGGAATTATTGCTCCTTGAACAAATCACTTAAAAGTCTAGCTCAGGACTCATTACAATCATATGGCGAGTAGCTGACAAGTAGTATGGAGCAGCAGTTACTTGCACCACAAAGAAAGCATCTTTTCCCCATAACAATGCCACTAAAATGAAGCAGTCATTACCTACATTCTGCTACAATTTCTTTTCCATAAATAACTCAGCTATTGAAAATATTCTGTTTCTTTAAGAACATCTTCCTTCTTTAAAAAAAAAAAAAAAAAAAAGCTTTTCCACTAATAGAAACTGGTCTGCCCTTCCAGGAAGTTTCCATTTTGTCAAAAATCCATTTTTGTCCACAAAGCTTATTTTTTATGATGAATAGTATGAGCTGTTGTGGTGGCATCGTATGCACGCGGCTGATGGACATGACAGGAGTAGGGCCACTGATTCATCCTCTCCTCGGAGCAGGGTGAACCTGCAGCACAGACCACACAGGGAATGAACAGAGGCGCTTCTGTGCTGGTTGCTAGTATGATTTGCTGGAGGAAAAGGAAAGATGACCAATGTTTGGGTAATTTTGTGTCTGACAGTTTATTAACATAAGATGGAAAGACCTGGAGAAAGTGCCAGAGAGAGAACAGGCAGGGCATTATTTTGGTATGCAGCTTCTCAGCACACGTAGTCCCATGAGCCTCACCTCTATCAGGTATTTTTTTAGTAGAAGGGAGGGGGTTGTGATCTGCCTGTCTACTTCTCTCTAAGTAAAATCATGTACAAAAAAAAAGTTAGAATGGAGCTAGATTTAAAAAGCATTAACTACAGTAAAGGGAAATGACAGGGGTCTAGTTTCATCTGGGTAGGCCAAGTTCTGTAAACACAGAGTGATCATTTATATTTGTGGGTTGCTCTGGCCTTTAGCTCCAAATTCAAATAATAATTTTGCAAAGTTTCCATTATCCTGTTGCAGTCGAGGTGCTGACCAGTATGCCACCTTGCCACCCAGCGTGTGACCTGGCTGGCTGGCAGCAGGCGCTTGCGGAGGAGGGAGCAGTTGCAGATGATGCTCTGGTGTGTTGCATCCTTGGGGCTGGAGGAAGGAAGCAGAGGCATGCCTGCCCCTCTGTATAGCCCCATCCAGGGAGGCACTGGCCTAATTCTCTACATAGCTAAAGGCAGAAGAATTAGGGATGAAAAATTAGGAACCCTGAAGACGCTGGGTGTCAAGGACCTGGAAAGCAGCAGTGCCTTGGGGAAAG